GCATTACCCAGAATAAGGAATAGACTCTAATTCCCATAGTTTAGGGTCCTTAAGGTAATGCAGGATTTATATCATCCACCGTATGAACAAAAAACCGCCTTCATCCTTCCACTGGCACGGAATCTGCCCCGACCACAGCTACCAACATGACAGCTACTTCTAATTTGAGATGTGGTTCCTTTGCTTATCCTTCCAGGAAGGAAAGCACGCCTGTGGCCAGCCTTTGCGCACGTTCCCCAGACAAAGTTCGGAATAAACGTGCCGATCGAGATGGGGCTATGTTGTTTGGACTTGGCAGCTGGTTTCATCTCCATGACTCCATGGTCAGAGCTTTCGGAAGCTCGGTTATGGAAGGGTTATGGTGTTAGCATGTGGTACTTCGAGGCTGAAGTTTTTAGATTCGTTTTGCAGGATGTGGACATAAGGGCCAATTTTCACATCTAGTAGTTTTAGGACTGTAGATTTGCCCAGCTTGCTGCGAATGGTTTGGCAGTACCGTTTCAAGGAAGAAGAAAATCGGATCCAGCTGGAGGCTGTGCTAGTTACATGCCGTGGCAATGCCACGCCCTATCGATAGTTGATGTCCAGCTCAGCAGGACCAAATATTGCCGGTCGCCCTAATTCCTGAGCTCTCATGAACACGAAAACAGCACCCTTCATTCGATGATCAATCTTCATCCGAAGCCATGCTCGAGGCCGACATGCACGGCTGCTTTGCGTTCCTGCTCACCTATGCTAGGCACCTTCATTTTTTCGGAAGGGGGAAGTTGTGTCGAACTGTTCTTTAACTTGCCATTCTCCCGTTGTTGCTGTACAAGTTTCCGAAGTGCATGCACTTGGAGCTATTGTGCAAGTAGTGTCTAGGATTCGTTCAACTTGTTCGAGACAGCAGTCAACGCAAGAGTTCATGTGTCTTACTTCTATCCAGGTAAATGAAATGAAGCCAGAGTCGCATGCAGACTCTCGTCGGACATGTCTTGCGGTATTATGGCTTGCGCGAAGAATGTCGCAGCAGTGTCTTGTGCGTGCAGTGTCGTCTAGGTGCCGTTTTGTAAACTCACTCCTGTTTCAGAGCAACCCCGATTGTTCTTGAGGCAACCCGGTGTTGTCCGTGATTGTTTATTCTTAGCCACCCTTGTTCTTCATGGGAGCCCTTAAAGGAAGGTTCTGGCTATTCGAGGCGCTTCTCGCGGACTTTAGCCGATTCCCCTGCTATCTTCCCACCCGAAGCTGCCCGGAAGGGTTCGAGTCTTCAGAGACTGCAGGATCGAGCCCTAGAAGGAAGGCGAGACAAGCCCAGAATTCTGAACCCAGAAGCCGGCAAGCGAGCAGACCTAAACTCTAACCCCCTGAGCCCTAAAGCCCCGACACCCGACACCCATAAGAACATCAAAGTTAAAGTTCCCTTTTATCACATTATGAGTCATATGAGTTTAAAGCAACGGCTGCAGATCCCTGCCCTTCGCGGAAAGACCGGACTACGAGAAACTGCGGCTGAGCTCAGTGGTGATTCTTGTGGGCTCCCGGGAAGGTTCAGGCCAGAGGGTTAAAGGTTTAGTTTAGGGTTTAGGGGCCAAGCCCTCTGTACGAAATCCCAATTCCTAGACCCTAAATCCTAAGCCCTAAACCCCAAACCCAAAATCCTAAAGTGAAATCTAAACCCTAAATCCTAAGCCGGGTACAACGGAAGTATGAAGTTCCCTGCCCTTCTTCGCCTCTTCCAGCTTGGATTCAAAGGTCTGCCCAGGCCTCAGCTCAAGAAGCAACAAGATTCATAATCACGATATGAGACTAGTTGTAATACTAATCATTTTTAACAATCCCAAGAAGAGTAATAGTGCTAGTAGCAATATCAATAACAGCAATAGTAATAAAAAATACCAACTTAATACTGATTGCGATTAACATTTCGAATGATAACAATGATATGATGGTCAGGCTGACGATGACGATGATGACGGTTATTATTACTAGTTTGTGTTTGATTGAAAAATAGCAGCTACTCTATAGTATTGTTGATTTGTTCTTCTGTTGTTGTTGTTGTGGCTGTTTCATGGCTTAGTAGGGATTTGGATAAGTTTCGTGACTCCGAGTGGTGCGTCCTCCGCGCATCCTTTCGCTGTCTTCAAAGTTCCCCAAACGCTCAACATCAGCTAGAGTTCGTAAGGTATCGAATCTCCCGATGTCCGGTAAACCCTTAAATCTTGAACCCACATATAACTTGACACACTTCTCCATTCCATGCGTGAGGGAAAAGGAACCCAGATAAAACCCGAAACCCCTTGAACCCCTCATTACCCATAGGCTCCATGGTAGCTCCTTTTTGGCTTTACCCTTTAGGATCCCAAATATGAACCACAAAAAGGAAGTACTATGGAGCCTATGGGCAGCGCCAGAGTTTAGCAGTGTGCCAGGTCCCACGTCTTTACCAAAGCGGTGAGCTGAGGGCTTCCGGTCTAGGCAAGGCGTTGAGGTAACTTAGGGGCCTTAAGATTAGGATTTAGGAAATGTAAGGGGATCTGTGGGGGTTCCTTTGAGGCTTGAATAATATAGGAACCTGATTGAGAAACTCTGGGTCGTTATTCGGTTTCTAGAATAGGGTTTTAAGTCGGTTGTTATAGCAGAAGAATAAGAATCCTGAAGGAATGAAGCTACGAATATATTCCGACCGCAAAAGCAGCAGTTCGAGGTAGCCGTGTGATTTGCAAGGCGGGCTTCCCATAAAACTTAGTTAGATCTGCGAGGGTTCAGCATCCACTTACAGTCTCCATTGTGGTCCCTTTCTGTTGGTTAACCATGTTATAAACGATTAGGATTCCATAATACCAAAGTTACTGAAAAAAGGAACTACAATGGAGGAGGCTTTTTGTAGTCCCTTGTCAACCTTAACAGTGCCGCATTTTCGATGCTACGCATAGCGCTTGAGAGTTTCTGCGGCAAGTGAGGAGTCTTTCGACGATCATCCATACAGCTAGTGTTATAGCGATGCCAATGCTAGCACGGCGGTCTTTTTGCCGGCATGATGGTGTCCTCGGCTACAGGCTGCTGGTTTAGATGCGTCTCTCGAGATAGCGTGGACATGGCTGTGATGTGTATGAACCTGCCTATCAACGGTTGTGTCTTGTGTGTTCGTTCGTCTTACTTGCTGTTACTTCCAATCAAACAAGCATTATCATTACACAGCACTTTATACTGTGACGCACAGGACCTTGACGGCAGTTCATATGCCTACATTCGCTTGTAATCGCGGCTAGCGAGTCAGACCAGAGGGCGCTGTTGGCAATCTGTCGCTGCTGTGGTTGTTCTTTGTTCGGGCTTCCTGCGTTTGATGAAAGTGCCGGCAATCGGATCTGCCATTTCCACTGCTGGCTGCTAGTTCCAAGCTTCAATGCAGATTATATAGACTTGCCGTCATGATGGTCGGTCTAGCAGGAAGAGGGCGTGCGAAAGGCCCATCAGAAACTCCAAGTCGATTTCAAAGCTCAGTGACGGCATGATTGGTTGGCTAGAAGGCATCATGTCGACATAGCTGATTTAGCCATCGACTCGCCCAGCGCATGCACACCAATGGATTTCACTGTGCGGAAAGCATATGCTTGCCCGATCTGCGGTGAATCCTTCATCAAATGGGGCCTATGCCTATCCCATCTCCATGCAAGTGAACCATGCAGATCCGCCCTCGGAGAAGATATCCTCCGCAACTTAGTAGTCGAGCCGTCAACCTTTTCTTGATGGCACCATCCCCCTATAGTCCCAAGGTTTAATCGTCAGATTCCCTAGGAAACTGTGACAAGTAAGGCAATGTGGAGCAACTCCAGGAAATGTGCCGTGCTGCTGCCTCTGGCGAGGCCGCAGCAAAGCAGGATGCTGCTGTGGGCACAACTGTTTCACCCGACAACTCCACCCCAGAGGCTCCCGTGACCGAGGTGGCACCCTCCACCTACGAAGCCATGGACGGGGCTGAAGCCTCTACCTTTGAACCCCTCGGGCACACCAGCTTCGAGATGGCTGGAATGCCCGCCAACTACGACAACATGAGCGGGGTAGCAACCACCAATTTCAACAACATGACCGGGGTCACAGGTCCCACCTTCGACACCATGAACGCCAACAACATGACCGGGGTCGCAGGTCCTACCTTCGACACCATGAGCGGCAACAACATGACCGGGGTCGCAGGCCCCACTTTCGACTCCATGAACGGCAGCACCATGAACGGCGTAGCAGGTCCCAACTTCGACGCCATGAACGGGGTCATGCCTTCCGTTTTCGAAGGCATGAACGGCATTGCGCCAAACTTTGACTCGTCCAATTTCGATGCCATGAACGGCATGATGCCCACCAACTTCAACATGAACGGCATCATGCCCTCCTCCTTTGATGCCATGGGCGGTGTCGCAAATTCCTTCGATGCCATGGGCGCGGTGGCGCAAGGCTTCGACGGCATGATGGTTCCGCAGATGAACCAGATGAATGTTCAGATGAATGCCCAGATGAATGCCCAGATGAACGCGCAGCTGAACGCCCAGATGAATGCCCAGATGAATGCCCAGCTGTTGAACGCTCAAATGAATGCCCAGATGTCTGCTCAGATGTCTGCCCTTCAGATGCAAGCCCTTCAGCAACAGCAGCTGGCTCAGCAGCAGCAGCAGCAGTACTCTCAGCAGGAATCGTTTGTGCCCACTCCCACAGCTCCCACACCAACCCAGAACGAGGCCAAGAAGGATGCCAAACCCTGGGCCAACTACAAAGCATCCTCGGCTTCACAGTCACAGCACAAAGCACCATCTAAGGCACAGTCCCAGCAAGCCGGCAACCTCTTGAAGCCGCAACCGAAGCCGGTGCCAGCACCCAAAATCACCCCGAAAGCACCTCCCAAAGCTGCACCGAAAGCTGGTGATGGCTTGATGAAGGAGCTCGCAGACGCAACGCCCGCCTACACCAAGCAAAAGGCCCCACCACCACCACCGTTACCTCAGCCCAGTGCAGACGCAAATGCGAGAGGCCTCCCCGCGTTGGACGTTCCTTGACCAAAGCTTCAGTATCATCATTCTAATACTACTATATAATTGGTGTAACTAGTCTTCAGTCGTCATTACTGCTATGACTTCGTACGCCTGCCACTAGTATACTAGTATAATTACCAATTATACTATGTGAAACTATCAAGATTTTAATTACGAGGGGCGCTCGACCGCTGCAACGGTTCTGTAAGGGCTTTCGTAACGGGTATCATACTGGTAGCTTGTACAGAGGGCTTGTAATCAACACGTGGTGTAGTGCCATGTAGATGGATGCTTATCATGATTCTTGGTACATCAGTACCACACTTCTTCTCATTGGCATAAGTATTACAATTACTGTGGCCATTCTTTCTGCACAGCTCTTTCCATTCGTTTATATGTTCACAGATAATTCGCAGGATTATTGCGATTGGTTTGGTCTAGAATTTCGCGCCATGTCCGAGCACGAGAGCCAAGGTACGATGCGTCGCTAGGCTCCGTCGTGCCCTGCAGTGTGGCTATCTGACTCTCATGGAACGATCCACCCTCTCCGAGAAGTTGGAGGAATTAGCTACCTATGCTCCCTCGAAGCAGCTCGCAACGGTCAAGAAGTTCCTGAGTCCGAGCTACGAGGATTTCAGATGGATTAGTAGCAAGGCAGAATGGCTTCAACGCTGCCTGAACTACACCCGGGCTGGCGGTGAGAACTACAAGCACAAAGGCACAAAGTCCGCCTCGGAGGAAGCTCTTGTGAAAGCTTTAGCAGATCACGGGTTGCTTCCTTTTGCCATCGACGAAGGGCGTCCTGGATGGATTTGTCATGCCCGGTTGCTGGTGGTGTCCGTAGCTTAGACTACTTATACGACATACCCAAGGTGCTGGAGCACCTTTGGTCTCTTGCCGCCCTTGTTGCAAGAGAATGTGGTAAGGGCAGTGCGCCACGGCTGCTCGATTGCAAGACCCTGTGTCTCTTCGTCGCGAGGTGTTTGGTTCCTGGCTGTTTGCTAGGGGCCCTAAGCCCGAAACCCCAAACTCCATGACTCTCTGACCCGTAGACTCTCTGACCCAAAAACCCGAAACCCAGAAAAGCTTCGTTCATGCTCACAGGCGGGTGGGGTCGAGTCGCAGGGCAGCTCGAGCCCTGCAGGAATACTAAAACCATGGCAACAAGAATGGTAATAAACGGTTTAGGGTTTAGGGTAATAATGGTAGTCATACTGCTGATGATAATAATCCTGCACTACCTTAAGGACCCTAAACTATGGGAATTATGGTATTTTCCTTATTAAGGGTAATGCAGGATTTATATCATCAACCGTACTAATGAGAATAAGACTAGTAAATAGTAAGTAAACATAAAGGAACCTGATGAAGGAACCTTGACTCTTTATGTGGATCCTACTTTGTGTTTTTTCTTGGTCAGGTTCCTACATTAGCCGTACAAAATTCCGAGCGATCATAGTCGTATCAACAATACACTGTGACACTGTTTGCGACAACATGAATGATACTGCAATACCATGTGCGTTATTATTGTATCCTACGGAGTCTTGTAGAGTATACATAGCAGGATCTTCACTATAAGGACGTTGTTGAAGAGCCCGCCCACATCATAGTTCTTTTCAGCCTCTTGAGTGCTTCCGAGGCTTGTTTCTATCTTCCACACTGCAGCCGTCGGAACACTTCGTGCACATCTGCGTAAATGAGGAGGCGTGGTGTAGGAATATAATTTGACCTTCATGTCCAACTTGTGGTTCAATCCGGGGTGGTGATACGGGAGAGACCCTCCCTTAAACCCTAAGCCCTAAACGTGGCAATCTCGGAGCCGTACCTGCCATGCCTGCTTGCGCGAGTGTGTGAGTCGAAACCCTAAACCCCTAAACCCAAAACTCATCTATAGTTCCTGAACGGAAGTTGTGGCGGGGCGGAGAGTCCAAGTTTGGACCTGGGATCCGTACCGGTGCGAAGCCCCGAAGGCCATGCGGCAACGATCGTTTCCGTCTTGCAGAAACGGGAACATTAAGGTTTAAGGTTTAAGGTTTAGGGTTTAGGGGTTTAGGGTTTAGGGTTTAGGCTGGAGCCATGGGCAGTAAGATAATTGAGCGATGCAGTCCCGCAGGTCATCTACAATTTGGAGGCGAAGCCTGTGCCAAACGAAGCGCAGCTGCAGTATGATGGTATGCACAGGTTCGGTGATTGCAGACATGCATAAACAGGGGATGCACATATCAAGTCCGGATTAGGTAGTTGCATGTATATGTCACTTTACATTTGTAGGGATGACCAGAGAACAATAGGTAAGTGCATGAAAGCGGCATGTCCCAGACCCGATTCCTCCGGTTCCCAAAAGGTTTAGGGCGTGTGGGGGGCTTAGGGTTTAGGGCGTGTGGGGTCTCGGGTTCAGGTTGTCCATGCTGCAGATTTTGGGGCGATTTCCCGTTCAAGGTTGATGATGGTAGTAGATGAAGCAGATTCTGTGCTGGGCAGTCTCCCGTATCCCTAAAGATTTATGTGTAATATAGGGGCCTATAAATAATTACCTATATTATTTTGGGGGTTCCTTATTATAATTATAGTATAATGGGCCCCAAAACCCTACTCAATTCCAATTATCTAGGCCCCTACATTTCCTAGGTTGGTTTCGACCTTGGAGCTACTCGATCCGTTTGCCTCTCACAGAAAATGTTGGTGTCCAGAAGCCTGTGTGCATAAAGTTTATCGCCCCATTTCCCCCCAACGACCCCTATAAACCCTAAAAGGTATGGACCCAGGCCCCCCTAAAACCTAAACCCTACGCCGAGAGATGGCTCGCACTGGAAAGGTGAGCGTAGCACATCTGTTGCTTCCCGGAAGCTCTGTGAGGGCCAGGGGTGTTCAGGGGTTTAGGATTTTGTGGAGTTTCCCGGCTGGCTGCGAAAGTCCTGGTTGCAAAAAGGGATGTAGGGGTTTAGGGCAACACATCAGAAGGCCTGGCTGCAAAAGGGGTTCAGGGATCATGAGAGTCTCTGATTCTGCTCTTCCTGTTCATTAGTGTCTACAAGAGCAACGCCCTCCAACTGATCTACAGCTGAAGAGTGTTCCCAACTGGTAGCAGCATAACTTCTACTTCTGAGCCTTGGGGCGATGGGCTCAGAGTTCCGATAATCAGTAGACTCCTCAAGATCTCACGGACAGTGTTGCGACAAAAAGATTCTACACCCTAAGCCCTAAGCCAAGCAAACGTCTTGAAGGATATGCCGACTCCAGAGCAAGCGGGCATGGAAAGCATCGACCAAACGCTGTCGCTCGCTTTGCTTAGCGAAGTGCGTCGGAACTTTAGGGTTTCGGGTTTAGGGTAGGAGCCTGGGAGCCCAAACCTTAAGGGAACTCCTCTGTGTTGATTTGTTCGAAGAGGTTTGAAGGATAGTGTGAGCATTCTCGCCTGGGCTTGTTGGGGCTGTTGTGGAAGTTTCGGGCTTAGCATGACAGCGTCGCGTTTGTGTGTGTGTGTGCGCGTGCGTGCGTGCGTGCGTGCGTTCCTGTGCGTGCGCGCGTGTGTGCGCGTGCACACTACTGTCTCTCAAGATCAAGCCGCCCAGCTACACAAGAACGGGAGCTTACTTGCCTGAGGTACCACCAGCTCCGACAATATATCCTTTTCCAGCATCGGAATTCAGAAGATCGGTGCTTACGGCTGCTAGCTGAGAGCCTCGGCGCGAAGTATTATGTCCCTAAGGACATAGTGAGTGCTCTCATCGGAAGTCATTCGTGCAGCTGTTGGCGTACTGTTTGTACTTGGGAGTTTCAGAAGCGCAGCCAGCATCTTCGCAGCCAAAGCCCCGAAATTGCATCCACGGCTTTGCTACATTGTCGCCAGGAGTGGACCAATCTTGCCGGGGACACCCAACAGCCTTCTCTATGTTGCTTGGCCGGTTCTTGTCCAGGGCTTTTCACAGCTTGCGTTTTGGGTTTCGGGAAAGATAGATGTTGCCGAGATCAGGCTTTGTATCATCGCCTTTGCGTGCATTCAGTTACTGGTCAGCCAATTTGAGCCGACCGGTACATCTGCCAATTCTGCGTGGTAGCACCCCGTAGTGGCACAGTGAAGCAACTGGCAACGGCGGCTGTGTTTCGAACAGACTGTGGCAGTTGACGCCATGATTACAATAATAGTACTGCGGATATTCAGCCGTGCTTTGTTTTAGTCCTTTCAACCTCATCCAGGTGCACATGGCCACGTCCGATGAGCGAATGAAGGGATCAGCAGAGGCCGGCCACTGTTTCAGCAATCCGGGTATATACAAGCAGAGTATAGCACCCCGTGAAGAAGCAGGTAATTGGGATTCTAGGCCCTAACCGAAAATGTTGGTGCAGCCGGAGAGTGGGAGTCCAAATTGAGCCTTGATTTAGGTATTTTTGGAATGTTCTGGAACATAGGGTTCCAGCATACAAGTCAGGTTGTGAACCTAGGCATTTGGGCATTTTCAGGTTTGTGTACATGACGGGCACCATACTGAATCATGAGCGTTGGACAACACCGGGACGATGGTCCTAGAGCCAACTCTCACACACACCACCCTTGAACCCTGATTCTTAGAGCCAAGACACGACATCATGTCGGATGCCCTCTTGACGCCCCCTTCAGCCTGAAATCCCGTTCTTGCCTTTATGGTGCCAGGCTGGAAAACTGGAAAACCCACAGAATGATGGGAAATTTCAGCGATGGCTATTATGTCGCTGAGCCCTAAATCCTGAAACCCTTGGCCCTAACCCAGCAACGGACAGCGAGCGTTTTCGCCATGTGGCCACACTGGACGAAAAAGTCACATCAGATGGTGATGCAGAACGGGCTTATTAGTGTTTGGGGCAAGTGCCCGATAAGAATCAAGGCCCGACATGTGTGGTGTGTGAGCACCCTAAGAACCTACAGCAAGCTTTTCTCCCTTATTTTACTTCATACGGTGAACCCATCACATAGGTGACTGGGATTCCAGAACACTTTGGCTTGAACGTAGAGAGAAACGAAGCCTACACTGTAGCAACAAGATCAAGTTTGAATGCTGAATGAAATGTAAGCAGGCAGTTGCAGGTACTGTCACGAGGGACCAGGGACAGAATTCATGAAACAATATAGGGCTTTGAGTATGGTTCTGGGTGATGTTATTCCCACTTGTAGTTTTAGGGGTTATGCGGCTTTCCACCACGCTGCCACACAAGGCCCTGTCGTCCCTTTCCTACCCTTTTCAATTCTGATATGTGCCAGGTGCTGTCCCTGCTCCATGCAGCTTCTGCCTGCGGCCTCTCGCGACTATGTGCTCGGCTGCTGTGGCGCAGGGAATGATTAGTTGATTAGTGTTTCGGGTTTGATGAGGGATTGGTTGGTTCTAGAATCCTGAGTCAGGTCGGGGGCTCAGAATAATATAGGAATCAGACCTAGGCACTTGTAAGCCAAAGAATGAAAGTGCTTCACATGAGGTCTCTGTCCAGAAGGTCTTGGAGCGGCTTTAAAGTTGTGCTGAAATGCTTCCTGTGTTCCTCATCCGCCCGTGCCCTGCATTCTAGACTCGATGTCATATGCGCTCAGAGAGCTGTAAGAAGCAACCCCTTCGCGAAACAGAGGAATAACCTCGGTAACCAAACCTTTCCAACACCCTAAATCCCCCAGCACTCTACTGTAAAGCAACCCTAAATGCACAGCAGGCCCGAGCCCCCAACACAATGGAACCCCCTTGTCTAGGATCCTTATTCACGAACCCCATAGGGGCTGATGGTGTGCCGGCAAAGCCCGTACTCAGGTTCCTTGCGGAGGGCTTACCTGCCAGTGTGATGCGGCAGCATTGTTGTGACGTCTCGTGACTATTTCTTCAACTCCAATAGCCTGTAGCAACAATATTTTAACCGGTAGCACGAGCAATCACTCGTAATTACACAAGTACGATCATGAGTTCAAGCGTATTGAACACCATGTTCGGATTGCATCTACGGCTGCTTTTGACATGAGTAAATGTTCGATTTAGCAGTCTGTACACACATGTACGTCTGTGAATGGTTTTAATATGTTGTTGCTTCGGCGCATTTTGGGCTTCGTGCGGCCATCGCCAGTTCACTTCGTTTGAGACTCGACTGCCACGTTGCCCCTGCAGCTGTAGAGCAGTCCTGCCCTGTCCTCTGCATAGTTTAGATGATGTTGTTCAGTACGGAAAAGACTAGCTTTGTCTCACAGATCAGCGAAGCACGACCGAAACCCGACTCTTGCATCTCTAGAGTTGGACGTTCTCACACATAACCTGAGCTTCGCGGCTCTTGAAACCCCCAAATACCCGCAGCTTTAATCTCTCCAGCTTCATACCAATAGGCCTTAGACGTCTATAGCTCTGGACGTCGAAACATGTATGGTTCGTTGTGCGTGAGAGCTTCAAACCTCAGTCCCTCAACCATAACCCCAAGGGTCCAAAGGACCCAATAATAATTCGGTACTCGGTGCATTCAGCATCGTAGTTCTAGCATTTAGGTTCGTATTTGGGAGAGTATATGACAATTTGGTGCTTGGGCCCCGAAACCCTAAACCTAAACCCTAAACCCTTTTGGGGCGACCTCCAAGTCTCGACGAGGAGGCTACGGGGAACGAGTTGGCCACACCTCTTCATCTCGCAGCAGGGCGCGGGGTGCCTTTGCAGCCAGGGGGTTTTAGGGTTTTGGGTTTAGGGTTTTAGGGTTTGTGACGAAATCAAAAATTCTGGCAAGGAGTCGAGATCTTTTTGGGTGGGCCAAACCCTATTGAGGTCCGATTACGACAGACACCTTGAAACAGATTGCAGTTGGCTTGTGCACATGATGCTTTGTCTTGGTTTGGCGCTGTCTTAGGCGTCCTTTTAATCTATGCTGTTGGGTCTTATCTGCATTTTGCGCGGCTTTGTTAAGTTGCATTTTCTAGCAAGCGATCGGCCTCTCATTAAAGCAGCAGTCAAAACCAATTTTAAAAATTTGACGAGGGTTCTTCACGCTCTCGAATGCACTCAACTGGTCGGCGCCGAGGCCGCAGCAACTGTGTTAAATAGCCTAGGATTGCACGGGCCTGACGATCTGTGCAAAGAAGCGTTGCTCTTACAGGCATCAGCCGAGTGACGACGTCTACTTGGTAATGTGTCTTCAATATTGTCGCATGCTACCGCGTCTCTCTCCGCTTCTACACTACTGACGTCATGCTTCTACATGCCGGTGAACATCAACACTACGATGGCGACTGCTACTCCTACCGGTGCTGCTGCTGCTGCTGCTGCTACAGGTGCTGCTGCTACAGCTGCTGCTCCACTTCTTATTCTTCTTACTGTTTGTGTTCTCCTTCTGCTGTTTCTTGTTATCCTACTTCCTGTTGCTGTTACAGCCTTGTTTCTGTAGTGAATGAAAATGCTAGTCCCCGTGCCGGTTCTACTACAACTACATCTACAGCAGCAAGTACTACTACCTCCACTCCACCCCACCACGACGACGACCACCACTTCTTCTAATACCTGCTACCTACAACAACAACAACAACAACAAGTACAAGTAGTAGTAGTAGTAGTAGTAGTAGTAGTACTACTACTACTACTACTGCTACTACTACTACTACTACTATTTTTATTACTACTACTACTACTATTATTATTATTACTACTACTACTACTACTACTACAGTACTACTGCTACTACTACGACGACGACGACGACGACTACTCCTACTCCTGCTCTTGCTGCTGGTGCTGCTACTACGGCTGGTGCTGTGGCTATGGCTGCCGCTACGGCTACTGCAACGGCAACGACTACCGCCACTGCTGCTTCTGCTGCTCCTACTGCTGCTGCTACTACTACTACAACGACGGCGAACAGTAAGACTAGTGAGAGTAAAATAAACATACCACTGACAATGGTTATAGAGTATTCATGGTCGCATTTTTTCCACTGAGGCCCTGGAGTCTGTGAAGGTCCTGATCAGGGCGAAGGCGGATGTGCTGATGAAGGAGCAGGGATTTTGGGGGTTCAGGGTATAAATGCTTACGGCTTCAGATCTAGAGGGTTTTGCGGGTTTAAGGGTTTGAACTTCAAGGTTTTGTATTTGGGGGTCAGGGGTTTGGGTGGTCTTTGATAGATTCAGCTCTTCAGCCAATTTCCTGGAGCCTTTTGTTGTGGTCTCAAAATGGTGTGGGGTTTTGACGGGATCGAGGTCTGGGGCTTCCCGATCTGGGACTTGGAGATTGGGATCTGCTTTGCAGTTTGAGAGTTTTGCCGTTGGAAGGGTGTGCAGGGCTTTGAGAGAACAAACTTGGGGCTCCGGGGTTCAGGAACCGATTGGGTGGATTGGGACGTATGGCGGCACTGAGCATGTCTGGACACACTGGCAGCCTGCTTTCCCGTCAAGCCTCTCCCAATTTCTTTGGGCCAGGGCCAGGGGGTACAGCAGATTTAGTAGATGCTGTTGTACACCCCATCAGACCTCATCTAAACCGTTCTATGTGGCAGCTACCCAGAGCGACTGATGCAGCGGCATTGAAAGGACTCGCTCGGTCGCACGCCAATGCACCTCGGTGCTGCAACAGAAAGGCTCAAGATCCGTGGAGGGCTTCTGCCGCCACATTCTTCCATGATGCTTCCCCGACTCCTAACCTCGAAGCCTTGCATGTTCGAAAGCTGACATGCCGCAACTCTTTTGGATCTCGACAGGAACTCTAGAAAATGGTTGCCAAGGATGTTTAGGGTAACCGAATATCTGCGCTCTACTGAAGCCAACCTCTGCGGCTTTGAGGTTTACGGGGAAGTCAAGTGGTTTGAGCCTCAAGTGTAGACTTGGGATTCGTCGCCTGCCTTAGATGTTTATCGTAAGTTGTAATCGAAACCCCCTCTGAAGCGTAGACCTTGCCGGAAGCTTTCTTAGATCTTTCGGACTTGTGCTTGTTGTGGGGCTTTATCAGCGCTTGGAATTCAGGCTTTTATACGTCGTCGGCTTGGCAGACCCTGCCACCGTGAATCCACAGCAATTCCATGGAACCTGTTCCCCTGCCAGCGTGAGAAATGCTTCGGGTCGGGTAGTTGCATGGTCTGGTGCTCTGCATGCGAAGCTTGGCATCACATGTCACATATCGTCGCAGCAGCCAGGCATGCATGTGCACATGGACGTGTTCCGTATGCGCCTATGTATGTATCTACATATGTACAATTGTGTGCATGTATGTGTGTGTGTGTATGTATCTCGTCGGTGTGTGTGTGTATGTATGTATGTATGTATGTATGTATGTATGTATGTATGTGTGTATGTATTCATGTAATGTAATGTAATGCTATGTTATGTTATGGATGGATGGATGGATGGATGTTTGTTTGTTTGTTTGTTTTGTTTGTTTGTTCGTTTGTGTGTTTGTTTGTTTGTGTGTTTGTTTGGTTGGTTGGTTGGTTGGCTGGTTGGTTGGTTGGTTGTTTGTGTGTGTGTGTGTGTGTTTTTTTGTGCGTGTGTGCGTGTGTGTGTGTGTTTGCTTGTTAGTTTGTATGTACGTCTGTATGTACGGATGTATGTATGTATGTATGTATGTATGTATGTATGTGTATATATGTACATATACACACATACGATCAGTTATCCATTCGTCTGTTTCGCTCAAGGCCCCCTGAAAACGTTCCGGCCTACGAAGGTACTATGCAGTTACGGCTGCGCAGGAGGATGCAGCAACTCCGGCACAGGAGTCGCAGCACCAACTGCATTTGCAGGCGCAATCGAAGATCTGTTCCCGGCCAGAGCCAGACTTGTATGTGTACACACACACATATATATATATAGATATACATACTTATTTGTTTATGTTGTCTTCACATATATATATATATATAAATAAATAAATAAATATATATATATATATATACAGGACAGTATAGGATACGATTTGGGGTGTAATTATATTTCAATTGTACAGGTACCACAAGTGGATACAGTTTCCAAGTACTCAGGCCTCCTACATTACACACATAGCGTAGCAAATTCGTTCCGCTATGCTTGTACAGACGTGAATTCTCATTCTCGTATCAAGGAGTCACGAAGTCAGAATAAACAAAAAGAGAGCCGTCAACGCCCAGATGCTGCATTCTAGACATGTTGACCTCAAGCCGTATTTCGTTAGCCCTTTAAGCTGAAGGGAAGCCTCCACCTTACCTCGCCTTCTGATTCAGCGTTCGCCAAAAGCTGCAAGAAACCGCACAGGGTTTCTATTTTGTCAGAACCCAATTCCCGCAAACCCTCAGAGGTGCAAGGAGTTTGCTTCCGGGCAGGTTGACATAATGCAAGAAGCTGGGACGTAGATCTCGGAACTATTAAATCCTACTTGGAGAGCCGCCCCCTATGCCGACCAGGTGTGCCAGCAGCTCTTGAATGGCGTCTTGCGAGTTGCAAGCTGGCACAAACTTGGGTTTTAGTGCCTCTAGATTCTAGATTTTGGGGTTTTGGGGCACGGGGTTGCCATTGCATCCTGGCCGTAGTCTTCTCCGTTTGAAAGCTATCGTATAATGCACCCCAACACCCTACGCTAGTTATGGAGGCCCCTACATGACACCCGAATAAAACATCCGAAATTCTCTTGAGTCCTGACTGAGGCACGGGAAGGCCGGGAGTGGGACACGGAGGAGAGTGGCGAGCTTGAGAGATTCGCAGAGGAGAAGCATCACTGGCCGCTTCTGATTCTTGACATGTGTTTGCTTTTGGGTTTGTTATCGGGTTAAGGTGGAGTAGTAGTAGTAGTAGTA